GACGTGTCTGGGGCAAGGGGAGTGGTGCACGAGAAGACCGCCCCCTACCACGGCCGAGCAGAACGGGTCGGCAGAGCGGCTCAATCGGCAACTGGTTGAGAAGGTCCGGGCGATGCTCGAGGACTCGGGGGTGCCCAAAAAATGTGCGGCGCGGGCCGTTGTGACGGCCAACTACATCCGGAACCGGACCCCAGTGAGCGCATACGGGAGGATCCCGTTGGGAGGCGTTCTACTGCAAGAAGCCCAACGTCGGGCACATGCGGGTGTTTGGGGCGCGAGCCTTAGGCACGTCCCAAAGAAGACGGAAGTTGGATCCGGTAAGCGAGCGGTGTGTGTTCGTGGGGTATGAGCCGGACTCCAAGGCGTACCGGGTGCTCCGAGAGAGCGACGGAAGGATCAAAATCTCCCGGGACGTCATTTTTGACGAGGGCGAAAGGGACAACGGGGTTGTCGAGCTGCGCTCCGATCAGACGGAGGGTTTTCCCGAGGAGGCGCAAGGGCGCGCGACCCCGCCTGCACCGGCGCCCACACACGCGTACTCGCCGCGACCGACCGCAGCCGCGTTGCACGATTTCCAAAACCAACCAAAGTGGGCAAGTTTCGGAAATTGTGCAAGAGAGCAGAGCAGAGCCGAAAGAGATTGCGGAGGACATCAAGATGCCAACACCGGCTGCTTAGAGGTACTCCCCGCGTGAGAATCATGCGCCTGGAGAGGGGTATTGCGCCAACTTGGCGGCGGATGCGGAAGCGGGGAAGCACCCCAGAGGAACAAGGGAGCATCCGGAACCGCAAAGTTATCAAAAAGCCGTTGGGGGAGAAGAGAGTGACCTCTGGCGGAAGTCCATGGACGAGGAGATGCGTCCCCTTTTGGAGAACGGGACGTGGGAGATCGTTGAAAAACCGGAAGGGGTCAAGCCGTTTCCCATGAAGTGGGTCTACAAAATCAAGCGGGACGCTCACGATATTGTGGAGCGGGTACGAGTCCCGGTTGATGGCAAAGGGCTACCTGCAGAAGCAGGGGATTGACTCTTCGACGAGGTCTACGCCCCGGTCAGCCAGCACACGACGTTGCGTGCGCTGTTGGCGGTGGTCGCGGAGCGCAACTTGGAGCTGCACTGAGCTTGATGTCAAGACGGCGTTCCTTGACGGGGAGCTGGAGGAGGAGATCTACATGCAGCAGCCGCAGGGATAGGAG